GCCCCATCCCCACCCCAACCCCTTCTCCATCCCCACCCCAAACCCTTCTCCATCCCCACCCCAAACCCTTCTCCATCCCCATCCCAAACCCTTCCCCATCCCCACCCCAAACCCTTCTCCATCTCCACCCCAATCCCTTCTCCATCCCCATCCCAAACCCTTCCCCATCCCCATCCCAATCCCTTCTCCATCCCCACCCCAATCCCTTTTCCAGGCGAACGAGACAAGTGCAAGTCTGGAATGTTCCAGGGGGAGCAGGAGAATTCCAAGTGAGCCGTTTCCTTTCAGGAGCGCGCTCCCATAAATTCCAATTTGCCTTTCGGAGACAAATTCCAGCCCATTCCCTTCCCCTCCCTCCCCTGGAGCAGCAGGACTGCAGATCCCACCGGAACGGCCAGAGGAGCTCCCTCAGGGCACAGAGCATTCCCTGCCAGCCTTCCCTTGGGATTTTTAACCCCCTCCTACCTGCGCTCCCCGCGGCTCTCGGGCTGCTCGGGCACCCAGCAATAATTATCGGCCGCGCTTTTGGCCGGCGGCTTCTCCCTCCTGGCCGCCCTTCTCCTGCAAGCCACGAGCGCCAGGGCGAACGCCAGCAGGAGCAGGATGGCCACCAGGCTGCCCACGATGTAATAGAGCAGCAGCCGCGGGCCGTCCGAGTCCGAACCGGCTCCAAATCCCGCCGTGGGCATTCCCAGAGTCCGCGGGATGCTCGTGGTCCATGGGATGCGCGTGGTGCGTGGGATGCCGGAGCTCTGGGGGATGCTGGAGCTCGGTGGGATGATGCTGGAGCTCGGTGGGATGATGCTGGAGCTCGGTGGGATGATGCTGGAGCTCGGTGGGATGATGCTGGAGCTCGGTGGGATGACGCTGGAAGTCTGGGGGATGCCGGAGCTCCCCGGCGGGATGCTGCCGGAGCTCGCTGGGACGCTGCTCGGGATCGCCTCCGCGGGGCTGCAGCCGCGCCCATCCCCGTCCCGGAGGGAGCCGGGCGGGCACAGGCACTCGTAGCCGCCGGGGAAGTTGCGGCAGGCGCCGGGACACGGATCCCGCAGGCATTCATCCACGTCCAGGCAGGAATCTCCTCCCGGCTGCCGCTGGAAGCCGGGCCGGCAGGCGCAGCGGAAGGAGCCGGGAATGTTGATGCAGAGCTGCGGGCACGCGTGGGGCTGGGCGCACTCGTCCACGTCGTGGCAGAGGCGGCCGGCGGGCCCCGCGGGGCGGTAGCCGGCCCGGCACAGGCACTGGAAGCCGCCGGGGAAGTTGCGGCAGCGCTGCTGGCACGGCCCCGACTCGCACTCGTCCACATCGGAGCAGCCGCGGCCGTCGGCGGCCAGGACGTAGCCGGGCTCGCAGGAGCACTGGAAGCCGGAGGGCAGCGGGCGGCAGGAGCCCTGGCAGGGGTTGGGCAGGCAGGGATCCTCGGGCAGGCAGGACACCGAGTCCGGGGCCAGCACGAAGCCGGCGTGGCAAGCGCAGCGCGGGGACTCTCCGGGCCCGTCCAGGCAGAGCTGCTCGCAGCCGCCGTTGCTGTGGCCGCAGGCCAGCGGGCACAGGGGGCCCGGGGGGTGCCAGGCGAAGCCGCCGCCGTCCAGCGGGCCCTTGCAGACGGCGAAGGCCGAGCGGCCGCCGCTGTGGCAGCGCACCTCGGCCAGCGTGCCGAAGGGCGCGGCGGCCAGGCGCGGGGCGCGCACCCCGAAGGGAGTGCTGTAGGTGACGGAGCCGCGGGCGGCCAGCGGCCCGCACATGCCCTGGAAGCTGAACTTGCAGAGGAAGGCGGGCAGCGAGCTCCGGCAGGCGCGGTCGCTCCAGCCGCCGGGGCCGTGCGGGCCGGGCGGGCGCAGCGAGACGCAGCGGGGGCTCACGCAGGTCACCGCCGGCTCCGCCGCCCACTCCGAAAAGTCTCCCGGCTCGCCGCCCGCCGCCCAGGAGAAGCCTCGCAGCGGCTCCTGCGGCCGCACGCAGTGGCCCCGGGGCAGGGCCAGCCCCAGCCAGGCCGGGCCGGTCCAGCGGGCCGTGGCCAGCAGCTCCCGCAGGCGCTCGGCCTCGGCGGCGCTGCCCGCCGCGGCCAGGTTACCGCCGTTGTCCCGGCAGCGCTCCTGCGCCCCGGCCCAGGTGCTCTCGTTGCGGTGCAGGGTGTAGCAGGCGCCGGCCGCGCACAGAACCTCCACGGCCGCCCCTCGGCAGCGCCAGGCCAGCAGCAGCAGCGGCAGCAGCGGCCGGAGCGCGGCCATCCCGCCGGACAAGTGAGCGAGCGACCGGAGCGCGGTCACATCCCCGTGTCCCGCCGAGCTCTCCCCGAACGCATCCTGTGCTCCCGGCTTTCCTATTTATCACCGGAGGCCGCGGCTTCCTGTAGCGTGGAGCTCCCTGGCTTCCCTTTCCCGCCGGCTCCTCGCTCCCATCCCAAAGTTTAGGGAAGAACGCTTCCCTGCCTTTTTTCCCCTTTTTTTAAACCTTTTTTTCCCCTCCCCCCTCCTTCCAAGAATTTGATTTATTCCCTCCGGCGGCACCAGCTGAGTTTTCCAAGGCCTTAATAAGGGCCGGGAGTTTTCAGGCACGTGTTGCTAAAAAAAGGGGAAGGAAAACATCCCGGCTGAAAAAGCCGTGGGATCCGTGGATATCGGGCTCTGAAAACAACAAAATAATAATAATAAAAAAAAAGGGAATATTTGGCGCGGGCTCTTCCCGCGCACGCGCGGAGATTCCAGAGCGTTTTCCCCTTTCCTTAAATAGATGGAAGAGCCCTGAAATAGGAGCTGGGCCGTGGGAATGTCCTGGGAATGCCGGGATGGAGCCAAGCTCGGCCGGGCTCCGGTGCCATCCCCAGCAGCGCTGGATGAGGATCCCTCCCGGAATTCCAGCTTCATCCATGAGAATTCCATAGGAACAGGGATGGTTCCTATGTTGGGATGGTCCCCGGTAACAACCGGGCTGATCCCAATTCCCTCCCCGCATTCCCAGGGTTTCTCCTGGAGCTTCCCTCTGGCTGATTCGGGATTTAACCCTGGGAGTCCGGGGGTATCTTTTCCCGCCTGGCACAGCCCTGGATCCACTGCCCATTCTAGGATTTCTTGGCTCAGGTGGGCTTGGAATTCCTGAGGGAATGGCCGTGATCCAGCAGAGAAAGAAATACCGGGAATCTGCTCCTTCGCTTCCCTCCTGAATGCAAAGAGCTGCCAAAAATCCCAAGAAAAAGCGTGGATTATTCCCAGACCTGCTCATGCACGGCATTCCCGGGAAAGCCCTGGCTGCTGGGATATCCTCTGGAATCTCCCATCCCATCATCCCATCAGGGATCCACAGCCAACGCTCCCAAACCTTGTGGGACGACTCTTCCTCCCAAAAAACTTCCCAAAAAAGCGGGAGGGAGAAACCCCAGCAGGATGCTGTTTCTCATTGGATTTATCCAGAATTCCAGGAACGGGGGGAATTTTGTTTTGGACTTGGAATAAGAGAGCTCAGCACGGAGCAGTTCCCTGGAAAAACACGGATCCTGCTTTGTCCGCCCAGCTGATCCCACCATTTTCCTTCTTTCCACAACCCAACCTGGCCTTTCTCATCCAACCAAGATTTCCCGGGCAAAAATCTGGGAATTTTTAACCACAGCTCCTCTGGAGATTCCCAGACTGGGGGAAAATCCCAAAATATCGAAACATAATTTAAATATGGAAAGTCATTCCAGGATAATCAAGGAATTAGTGCTGGGAATGTTCTTTCTTAGGATGCATGGGGTGTCCAACCAGGAATCCCATCCCAGGGGAGAACTCCTGGTTCAAAACCATGGAATATTCATGGAATATTTGCAAAAATAAAGCTAAAAACCTTTTCCAGTGGCTTCATCTTATTTTCATTTTATTTTCATTTTATTTTCATTTTATTCTCATTTTATTTTCATTTTATTTTCTTCGCCCCCTTCCAAAAAATAAAAAAAAATATAAAAAAAAAATTGGGATATCCCTGTTTCCAAGAGTTTCATGGATAGGAAAGCTCCCTCCCATCACTTCCAGGGAGATGTCCACGTTCCAAGTTTATGTGGGAATATTTTTTAGGATTTTTTTATTGGATGTTCCACGCTCCTTAAATTTTCTTGGATGGCTCCCATGGAAAATCCAAGTCCTGGCTCCCAATTTTAGAAGGATTTTCTTTCCCAGCCCCCCTCGGCTGAAGGCATCCGGAACCCCCCGTTTTCCATAGGAATCCGATCCCGGCCATCTCCCGGACAGCGGAATTCCCGCCCAAGGGAAGATCCAAGATGATTAATTAAAACCAATTAAAAAAAAAAAAACGGGAATTGCTGGAAATGAAGGAATCGGTTAAAAAAAAAAGGCGAAGTCTGAGGCTGAAGAAGGAAAAGGGCGTGGAATGGGTGACGTCAGCGGCGGCAAATCCCGGGATTGGGATGAGGGACAATGGAGCCGGAGGGGGGGACACCTGTGCGGGAAAAGAATTGGAGGAACTCGGCTCCCTCTGGAGACATCCCAAGGGCACGGAGCTGGAATGGGAAGCTCTGGGAAGGCTCTTGGAGACCTTCTGTTCCATGAAATTTTGGGAATTTGGGCGATGTAGAGGAGTGGGAATTAGCGGGGGTTTAATGGGAGTGGAATTCCAGGGGGCAGGGAAAGGAATTGTTTGGGTTTTCACGTCCCTGCTCCTCTGCTCCGGGGAGATCCCGGCTGGAATTCTGCATCCAGCTCTGGCTCCCGGCTCTCCGGGAAGGACGTGGAGCCCTTGGAGCAAATCCAGAGGAGGCACCGGGATAATCAGAGGGATGGAGCAGCACTGCCGGCAGGAAAAACCGGGAGTTTGGGATTGCTCAGCCCTTCAGGATGGTCCAGCTGTGCCACTCCAGGAGGAAAAACCGGGAGACATTATTCCCGAGGGAAGGGGAAGGGCTCCCCCTGGCAGGGAGCAGGCTGGGATGGAATATCGGGAATATCCCCTGGGAGGGCAGGCAGGCCCCGGCACAGATTCCCAGAGGATCCCCAGGATCCCGGGAATTGTCCAAGGCCAGCTCGGAGCACCCCGGGATAGCGGGAGCTGTCCCTGCCCATGGAATGAGAGGAGGAATTAAGATCCAGCTGAAACCGTTCCATGATTTTTTTTTTCCATGGAGCGGCTGAACGCCCACCCAGATGGGAAAGAGGGAAGGAAGGAAGGAGCAGCTCCCATCCCAAATATCCCGTTCCTTCCAGGCATCTCCCTCCTTTTCACGGGAGCAGGGAATTGCTTCCTTGGAGTCCAGATTCCAGGCTGGCATTTTCCATCCTTCCCTCCTGCTTTTCCCATTTTTCCAACCTTGGAGCAGCTTCCAGGCTAAAGCTGGAGGAGGGAGGTGGAGTGGGATCAAAACAAGCCGGAGCCAATCCAGGAATTCCGTATCTCTCCAGATAAAATCCAAGGCAAGATTCCGGGAGGTCTCTGCCAGGTGGGAGGGAGCTGCTCCAGGTGTTCCGAGCAGCTCCAAGGATTTTTGCTGGATGTCAAGCGAGGACACGATCCCTGAGTTTTTTCCAGCCTTTTCCGTTCCCATTGGGAAAAGGGCGGCTGGGATTCCAGGGAGGAGAAATCCCAGCGGCCCCACAGCAGATCCATGCTTTGGAATTGCTTTGGGATACAAGCGGGACGCTCTTCCCAAACTCTTTCCCCCTGGAAGCGGGAGGACTGGAGCACAGCTGGAATATTCGGCTGGATAGCAGCTGGAAAAGTGGGAATCCTGGCTCTGGAAGCCTTCCAGCCAAGAAGGAAAAGTTCCTCAGATCCCAGTGGGAACAGGGCCCTGGGGAAAATCCTCATTCCAAGGGATGTTTTCCCTCCTCCTTTGTTATCCGAGGGACTTCTTTTATTATTCCGGAATTTTTCCATGTGTTTGGAGCCTTGGAATTGCTGACGGGGTTGTCCTGGGTGGTCTGGGGGCGGGAACAACCCCTCCTCCAGATGGAGCCCATTTAGGAAAACCGGGAATCCACGGGGACGGGTCCCTCCTCCCAGCGGGATATTCTCCAAGGGATATTTCCGGGATATTCCAGTTCTGGAATAGCAGGGAGGAGGTGAAGGAGAGGACAGTTCAGTCCCAGCCCAAATTCCCTGGTTTTCATCCCGGATTTGGGGGAGTTGGAATGCCACCAGGACACCTGGAGAGCGCCCACGCCGATCAGCTCCCGGATTTCTCCAACCGATCCGGCCCATCCCGCTCCAGCGGGATTTGGAGCTCGGAGCAGGCAGAGTGAGGGAAAAGCTGCAGCTCCACAGAATTCCCTCTAATTCCCAAATTTCCTGCTCATTCAGGATGAGCCATCAGGGAATCTGCTGCTCCTGAGGGAATTCCAACTCGCCTCCCCGAGCAGGGATTGCCCAAAGGAAAGGAAAATCGGGAAAATACAAAAACAAAAAAGGAGAATTCCCAGAGGAATCCCACGGGGAATTCCCATGTGGTTTTTACCGGGATTTGTGCGCCTGTTCCTCGTGGGAAGCTGGAGGCAAGAGGGAACATTTTTAGGATATTTGGGAGGGTTTTTTTGGGCATAAATTGGGAATTTCCCACACCCCCCCGCCCGGGCATTCCCACTTTTTAGCTCATCCCATTTGGAGGCAGGATCGGTTTTCCAGGTGGAATAATTAAGGAATAAATAAATGAATAAATAAATAAATAAAGATGAAAAAAATTAAAAAATAAAAAGAAAAATTTTAAAATAAAAAATAAAAATAAAAACAAAAATGAAAACAAAAATGAAAATAAAAATAAAAAACATAAAAAACATAAACAATAAAATAAAAATAAAAATAAAAATTGAAAATTAAAAATAAAAATCAATAAAAATAAAAATAAAAATAAGAATAAAAATAAAAATTGAAAATTAAAAATAAAAATAAAAATAAAATAAAAATAAAAATTTAAAATTAAAAATAAAAATAAATAAAAATAAAAATAAAAATAAAAATAAAAATAAAAATAAAAATAAAAACTGGGAGTGCATCCATAGGCAGATGCTGCCTGAATAAACATGGAATTACCACGGGAAGGAAACATTCCAGGGGATCCATGAGGAGTTGATTCCTTCTTCTTTTCCCCCTCCGGCTCCCGCTTTTTTTTCCCATGGAAATCAGGTTTTCCCTGCCCACAGCAGCTGTGAGGGACAGAATTCCCAATTTCCACCGAGAATCAGGATCAGGGCCTCCAAGGTGATCCCTGTATTCCCATGGAAGCGGTTTTAGAGCCGGCCTCGCCATCCCAGGGTCGGGATCTGGAGAAGGCGCTGGGATCTGGCCAGAGGATTTGGGGAATCCCATTTTCCTCTGGCACGCCCGGGACACCCCAGGCATGGATCAAGGCAGGTGTATCCATAGATCCATGGCTTTTTCCAGGAGCAGAGCCAGGGAAGCGCTGGGCTCTGGTATCAAACATCCATTTCCCCCCTCTGCTCATCCCACAGAATTCCCTGCCCGTTTTCCCTCCCCCTCCTGTTGGAATTCCCACATCTGTGGCCCGATCCAGATTTCGAGTCCTCCCCAAATTCCCGCAAGCGGCAAAACCCGAGGATGGGGTTAAAGCGGGATCCGGGCTCGCTCCGGCTGCTCCGGCTCCAATCGGGATTCGCTGCCATTCCCAAATGTCATTCCCGGCCGGAGGGGCTGGGAGGGCCGGGAATGACTCAGCCCTGGCCCAATCCCAGAGTTCCCAACCCTCCCAGCTGGATTGTTCCCTGCTTTCCCCCTCTCCTCCCGCTTATTTAGTACCGCTGTCCCAGCCCCGCCGAATCGCTTTTCCCGCTGATGCGCAAAATCCCGGGAAGGAGGCGGCTCTGGAATGCGAAGGGAAAGGCAGGGCTGGAAACATTCCCGAGGCTCGGGAAGCGCCGGGTGTTGCCCGGGCAGGGCGGCAACAACTGGAAGGAAAAGCAGGGTGGGATTCTCCAGAGGGATGAGCAGAGCCCGCCCCGCCTTCCCGGGACAATGAATTCCCTGTTTTCCAAAGGGCTGGCAGCGAGGTGGGATTTCAGGTCATTCCCAAGCCAATTCCCCAGCCTGGGATTCTCGTTCTCCCGATCCTGACCTTCCCAGAATCTTCTCCCCCAAAACGATCCCGTCTGGAATGTGGGATCGTGTTGCGGAACAAATTCCATAAAAAAAATAAGGGAATTATCCACGTTGGCATCCCCGGGGAAATCCAGAGCCCCCCAGGTCGGGATGCGGCCGCTCCGGCCCCTCTCCCCATCCCAGGACAGATCCCAACATTCGGGGAGGAGCCGAAAGCTCAAATATTCCTTAAAAAAAAAAAAAAAATTGGCAGGA